TTTAGGGTTTAGGGTTTGAAGCCTGAAACCCCGAGAACCTCAAGGCAACGATACCTTCAGGTGCAAAAGCACGAACACGAAGGGCCATCTCCCGAAAGATGAGAAATCCTGCAGTTTCCCAAAAAACGCCTCCAACTCCCTCCAAAACCATAAAACCCTAAACTCTAAACCCCAAACCCTAAACCCCTAAACCCCTAAACCCCTAAAGCCCTAAACCCCTAAACCCTAAACCCTAAACCCCTAAGCCCCAAAACCATACAACCCCCAGGACGAACGTCGAGGCGCATGGCATCCACCTCCGCGCTTCTGGGCCTCACCTCCCACACCTCCGGCAAGATGCCTGCGGCGGCCGGAGCAGTTGGGAGGCTGAGCTGTGAGGTTGAAGGGTTTGTGGGCTTTGGGTTTAAGGTTCGTGGGTTTAGGGTTTAGGGTTTAGGGTTCATGGTGCTGTGGGGCCTACCGGTTCTGGGATTTACAGCCGGTGTCAAGTTGCGAGGTTTCGATCCGCATTGAGCATTTAGGGTTGAGGCTTTAGGAGAACTTGCTCTTTAAACTGAAAGCTCCTGCCTCATCGCAGCCCCTAAAGCAACCCTGAAGCCCTAAAGTAACCGTGAGTCCTTAGACTATTGGGCAGTTCTCTAAGTCAGGGTCCCTTTTCGGGTCCTTTTCAAAAGGGTGCCGTACTATATTGGGGACCTAAAACGGGACACTAATTTAGAGAACTACCCTATTAGAGAACAGCCCTTGAGCCTCGGAAGGAAAACCTGGCCGACGAGCGGATGACATCTTCCAAGTGGTCATGAATCTGAGGGCACCCGGAAGCCCGCCCTAGTAATTAGAATAGGGCTTTGGGGTCTATTGCACTATAACTAGAATAAGGATCCCCCCAAAAAAAATAATATCGGTGATGATTGAGGCCCCTGTATTACTCAAGGAGCATGCCTTTCAATGAGTCGCGGTAAGGATCCATTCGAGAAGTGATGAGACAGATCCTTCTTTCATAAGTTTTTTTAAAGGGCCTTTTGGATGCCTGCCAGCATCTGACGACGACCCAACCCGTATTGGGTAGGCAGTTTATGACTTTGGGCAAGCAAAACACCTTCACTCAGTTACTCATCGTGGCACTCATCAGCATTGGGTTTAGAGTTTAGGGTTTAGGGTTTAGGGTTTAGGGTTTAGGGTTTAGGGTTTAGGGCTTTAGGGTTTAGGGAGATGATGAGACAGATCCTTCCTTCAATAAGGTTCGGAGTCGGGGCAAACCTGCAAAAAAGTCCGCAGGAAGGCCTGCGGGGGCCTGGGATTCGAACTCGAAGGTCGCAGGCTTCGGAATCCTAGACCCTAAACCCTAAACCCTGAACTCTAAACCCTAAACCCTAAACCCTGAACCCTAAACCCTGAACTCTAAACCCTAAACCCTAAACCCCAAATCCGAAAACCCCCGAACCGACAAACCTGAAGCCTAAATACTTCTGGGCCGCTGCGCAACATGGGAGGCCTGAATACGTCTGCGGACGCAGGGCTTCCATGACCAGGAAATCCTCAGTTGTGGGAGATTCGTTCTCGGGAGCAGAACTCCAAAAACTTAGGGCGGAGCTGGACTGCCACGGTTTAGGGTTTAGGGTTTAGGGTTTAGGGTTTAGGGTTTAGGGTTTAGGGTTTGCGAAGTCTACGGTTTTCAGTACAATCCCAAGCTCAGAACCATTCCTTTTTGCCAGCCCAAGCATCCAAGTGCATGTACTTGAAGGCCATCCTCAGTTTTGGTACGGCGAGCTTCGCAGGGGGTCAGCAGGACATCTGCATCAGGCTTTAGATCAATTTGTGTTCCGGATTCAACGGAGTCTGAAGTTTGCAGTTCGGGTTTGAACAAGGCTGGCTGAACCCTAAGCCCTAATTAAACTCTAAGCTCAACTCGCAGGTTATCGGAGTCTGCCTGTCGAGGTTTAGGGGTGCCGTACATGGGTCGCCCCGTATGTTTGAACCCTTGAAGAAGCTATACACATCTACAAGTAAAGAAGCGAACTTTATAACAACAAAAGACACTCCGACGAACCCTGAAAAAACCCTATTGGAAGGTTCAGTCAAGTCGGGTTTGGGCTCCTAGACACAGGGTCTCTGCACTCAACCTTAGTATGGGGGTCTTAATGCTAATGCTATTGCCTAGTAGTCCCCTTATACTACAATTTTGTGAAGGCGCCTATACAACCGTCGGCTGGCAGCAACAAGTCAAAAACTTCGGCAGACAGAAACCGACCGTTCATCTCGCAAACGCCAAGCAAAGGTGCAGGGTAGGGTTTAAGGCTTAGGGTTATACTGAAACCTAAAACCCCTAGACCTTTGACCCCCAAATCCAAAAGACGACCCTTCCTAACCAACCCTGCCCCCCTAAACCCTAAACCCTAAACCCTAAACCCTAAACCACCCAAAACAACTTAAAACCGAAAAAAACAGCGCAAAAGCAGAGCACCAAAGTCAGGTCACAGTGGGTCGTCTCGGAAGTCGACCCCGGCATGGCTCGACGTGATGACGAACACGATCGACCTTTCTTCGCGGCTGCGGGGTTTAGGGTTCAGGGTTTAGGGTTTAGGGTTCAGCAGCTCCGGATCGAGCAGTTTTTAAGTATAGCGGTATTCAAGGCTTTGATAGAACACCCACCCACCCTCAGAATCCCATAACATTAAGAAAATACAAAGTTCGTTTTATTATTCTTTAGCCAAGTTCTTTTCACGAAGTTCGTTTTATTATTCCTTAGCGAAGTTCTCTACAACTTAGCGTCATACCTT